TAGGTCAGGAAGGTGACTGAGCCACTCAAGTGGAGCAGGTGGACATAAACTCCCAGTGTTTCACCTTCCTTTCTGAGGGGTGTTGAGGCCCCAGGAGGTCTTACCTCCCACAATGCTTCCCAGTCTAACCAGTGACCATCTCTCAGGTCACGAGGGGCCTGCTCTCAGCCCTCTGTGTACCTTCCACTCCCAGGCCCGCTGTCCTCTGCAGTTATCTTTGGCCTGCTCCCAGGATCTAAGAAATGCGGCTCCATGCTTGCCGCACTGGAGTGTGTAAGGACTCAGCCTCGCCAGGTCAGCCAACCGTGCCTGGACTTCACCCAGTGGGCACTGGGGCGCATTGAGCTCCTCCTCGGCCACCTTGGTTCCCTGAATCAGACTAAGGCAGAGTACATGAGGCAGATGCTGCCCGGGCTTGCAAGGGTGGTGGGAAGCCCAGGTCAATGTGCAACATCTCTCAGAAACTAATGTGTAGCAAACCCAGGAGACTAAGTGATAAAGGATAAATTATGTATACTGTGTTGAAATAGATAAGGGAGATAACTGTTTAAAAGGGCTATATGATTGGGTATTATTGTCATGACAGGAGTCCAGAATGAAGGTTGCACAGTGGAGTGGACTTGGGGGGAGGGATTATATAACAATGAAAGAGTTTTTCTTTTGCTTTTCAAGGAGAAGAGTGAATTGGGGGGACGGGGTTGGGCAGGGAGAAAAGGGCAACAATGAATGACTGGAAACCCTAAGTCTCTGTAAACTTTCATTAAAATTAATCTTAAAAAAAACAACCTGTGTGGATCATAACAAACTGTGGTTGACTCTGAGAAGAATGGGAATCCCAGAACATTTAATTGTGCTAATGCGAAACCTGTACTTGGACCAAGAGGCAGTAGTCAGGACAGAGCAGGGAAACACTGCATGGTTCAAAATTGGGAAGGGTGTACGCCAGGGATGCATCCTGTCTCCATACCTTTTCAACATGTATGCAGAGCAGATTATCCGAGAGGCGGGGCTCTATGAGGAGAATTGTGGCATCAGGATTGGTGGAAGATCTATTAACAATCTGCGTTATGCAGATGACACAACCCTGCTTGCTGAAACTGAGGAGGACCTCATGCACTTGCTGGGAACGGTCAAGGACTGCAGCCTTCAGTATGGACTGAGGCTCAATGTCAAGAAGACAAAGATTCTCACCACTGGACCAATTGGCAGCGTCAGGATGGATGGCGAAGAGATTGAGATTGTTCACAGCTTCAGTTTGCTCGGCTCCACAGTCAACACTCTTGGCACCAGCAGTCAGGAAATCAAAAAGCGTATCGCGATGGGAAAGTCTGCTGTTAGGGACCTCTCTAAAGTACTCAGGACCAAGCGTGTCTCTCTGGAGACTAAGGTGTGCCTGATACAGGCCATGGTATTTGCAATCACTTGTTATGCATCAGAGAGTTGGACAATAACTAGGGAGGACAGAAGGAGAGTGGATGCTTTTGAGCTGTGGTGCTGGAGAAGAGTACAAAAATGTACCATGGACTGCCAGGAAAACAAACAGATTCATCTTGGAGAGGATTAAACCAAGCTACTCCTTGGAGGCAAGGATTCTGGGGCTTCGTCTGACACACTTTGTACATGTTGCCAGGAGGGACGGGTCCTTGGAGAGGGACATCATGCTTGGGAGGGTGGAGGGATGGCGCAGGAGGGGAAAACCCTCTATGAGATGGATTGATTCGGTGACTGGGGTAATCAGGGTGGGTGTGTCAGAGGCAGTGCGGTTGGCGCAGGATAGAACAGGGTTTAGGGCTGTTGTGCATAGGGTCGCTATGAGTCGAAAACGACTCGAAGGCACATAACAACAACAACAAGCACAATTAGTAAGTAATACTATTAGTAAAAAATCAAATTAGACGGTTCTGAACAATATCATGACAGTTTTATAAAATATACTTGCATGCTTTCCAAAATGATGATGGTGTTTCATAATATTAATGAGCTTCAATCCGTACTGAAGACTACAGTCCTTGACCCTCTGCAGCAAGTGCTTCAGGTCCTCCTCAGTTTCAGCAAGCAGGGTTGTGTCATCTGCCTAATGTAGGTTGTTCAGGAGTCTTCCTCCGATTCTGATGCCCGTTCCCCTGGCGGGCGGCAGCGTGCGTTCCCCCTGGCTGCTCTTCCCGGGTCTCTTCCCGGTCCCTCTAGCGGCGTTCCCCGGTCTGGCGGCGGCGTTCCCGGTCTGGCGGCAGCGTTCCCCCGGTCTGGCGGACGGCCGCGTGCGTCATTCCTCCTCATAAAGCCCAGCCTCCAACATGATCTGTTTTGCAAATAGATTGAAAAGATATGGAAACAGATGCACTCTTTTCCTGATTGTGAACCATACTATGTTTCCTTGCTCTGTTGTGAGAACCAAGTATGGGTTTTACATAAGCACAATCCAACTATATGCTGTTATTATTATTATTATTATTATTATTTTTGCTGGCCAGTTGCCTGCAACTTATAGAGACATTATGTCCAATAACTGTGAACCCTTCCCTTCCTTGAGCCAATCTCACTGTCTCTGACTTACCTATCCCTAATACCCCTCATTATTGTGTCAATCTATTTTATCTGGGGGTCTTCCTCTCCTATATTGTCCATTCATCCTTCCAAGTATGATGTCCTTTTCCAAGGACTCATCCCTCCTGGAAACATGCCCAAAGTATCTGAGACACAGCTTCAAAATCATTACCTTCAAGGAACAAATTGATTTCACCCTCTCCGGGACACATCTGTTTGTTCTCTTACAATTCCATTGTATGTTCACTACTCTTCCAGCACCACAACCCAAAGGCATTGATTCTTTTTTTTTTTTTAAATTTAAGTTGTTTATTTTTCATTTCAATGAACATCTACAGAGATTTTAGGATTCCATTCATTCATTGTTGCACCCATCTCCCCGCACAAACCCCTCCCCCCTCCCCCCCCCGTTTTCTCCTCTCCTTCAAAAGCAAAAGAAAAACTCCCTCATTGGTACACAACCCCCCCGCACCTCCCCAAACCCCACCCCCTACCCCCAAATATAATCCACTCTGCAACCCTCATTGCATACTCCTACGATAAAAATAATGC